CTGATGTCAGCAATGATATCCCTCGATCCACGTCTTTCTCTGAATCTGGCTTGAATGTCAGGATGTTCCTTGTCAATGTACTATTGCAGCCATTTTTAAATTATCTTTAGCAAAATTTTGCTTGCATGTGATATTAATGATATTGCCTAAGGATTTCCACATTCTGTTGGGTCACCTTTCTTTGCAATGGGCACAAATAGAGATCTTTTCCAATAAGCTGGCCAGGTAGCTTTCTTCCAATTTTGGCATAGACGAGTGAGTGCTCCCAGTGCTGCATCAGTTTGGTGAAAGATTTCCATTTGTATACCATTAATTCCCAGAACCTTGTTCTTCATCAATGCTTTCAGTGCACCTTAGGATTTCTTCTTTCAGTATCATTGACTCTTGATCATATGCTACCTCTTGAGATTTCTGAACATTGATCATTTCTTTTTGGTACAGTGACTTTGTGAATTCCTTCCATCTTCCTTTGATGCTTTTTGCATCATTCAATATTTTACCCATGGAATCCGTTTTAAGTCAAGGCTTGAATTGAGAAATACTGAGCATGTTTTTCCCTTTTGGCTTTGTAATTCCAGATCTTTGTACATTTCATTATTATAATTTATTTTAACTTTTTATTGTGAACTGAGTGAATGCTTACAGATAAAATCATCAGCTTTACATTCAACAAATTATTTGTGCACAATTCATGATGATATTTTACTTTGTCTTCTTGAGCTGTCCTTTGAATTTTTCTGTTCAGATCTTTTACCTCTTTATTTCTTCTGTTTGCTTTAGCATCTCTACTCTGGAGAGCAAGTTTCAGAGTTTCTTCTGACATTCACTTTGGTAATTTCCTTCTTTCCTGACTTCTTAATGATCTTTTGCTTTTTTCCTGTATGATGTTCTTGCTGTCATACCACAACTCTCCTGATCTTCGGTCATTAGTGTCTAACTCATCAAGTCTGTTCGTGAGATGACCTCTAAGTTCAGGTGGGGTATGTCCAAGGTCATATTTTGGCTTTTGTGAACTTGTTTTAATTTTCTTTGGCTTCAGCCTGAATTTGCATATGAACAATTGATGGTCTGTTCCACCTTCTGCCCTTAGCCTTGTTTTAGCTGAGGATATGGAGCTTTTCCACCATATCTTTCCACAGATGTAGTCAATTAGATATCTGTGTATTCCATCTGGTGAGGTCCATGTGTACAATCACCTTTTATGTTGTTTTTAAAAGGTATTTGCAATGAAGAAGTCATTGGTCTTGCAAGATTCTCTAATGTGATCTCCAGCATCATATCACCAAGTTATATCTTTTAATGACTGATCCTTCCTCATTGCTTCCACCCTTTGCATTCCAATCACCAATAATTATCAATACATGTCAATTGCATGTTTGATTAATTTCAGTGAAGAAGTTGGTAGAATTCTTCAATTTCATCATCATTAGCTTTAGTAATTGGTGCATAAATTTGAATAATAGTTGTGTTAAATGGTCTTGCTCCTTGTTGTTGTTAAGAGCCATCGAGTCGGTTCAACCCATAGCAACCCTACATAGGGTTGCCACAGAGTGGCTGGTGGGCTTGAACCACCAACCTTGTTCAGACTGATCTTGCAGTCCAGCACATTATCCTACAGCACCACACCAGAACTCCTTATAGACGTATGGATATTATCCTATCACAAACATCACTGTACGTCAAGATAGATCTTGAAATGTTCTTTTCGATGATGAATGTGACGCCATTCCTCTTCAATTTTTAATTTCCAGCATAGTAAATTATATCCATTTCAGCTAGGATATCAATGTTTATGCATTCCATCTCATTTTTGACAACTTCCAATTCTTCTAGATTTATACTTCATATATTCCCTGTTCTGATTACTAATTGGTGTTTACAGCTATTTCTCTTCATTTTGAGTTGTGCCCCATCAGCAAATGAAGACCCTGAACGTTTTATTTCATTTACATCATCATGGTCAACTCTAAGTTGAGGAGGCAGCTCTTACCCAGTCGTATTTTGAGTGCCTTCCATCCTGAGGAGCCCATTTTCTGGCACTATATCTGACAATATTCTGATAATCTTCATTATGTTTCAATAGTCAATATTCTGGTGCTATCTGACAGTGTTCCACTGCTATTCATAAGGTTTTCAGTGACTAAATATTTTAAAGTAATTTCTCTTTCTTCCTTGTCTGTGTTTATCTGGAAGCTTAGCTGAAACCTGTATACCATGGTGACCCTGCTAGTATTTAAAATACTAGTAGCATAGCTTCCAGAATTACAGCAACATGCAAGCCACCAGAATACGACAAACTGACAGACAAGTGGTAGACCTTGAGTATATCTCACCTGAATTTAGAGACAATCTCAAGGATGGATTTGATGCATTAGACACTAATGACTAAAGACCAGAAGAGTTGTGGGGTGACATCAAGGACAACAAAACACTACTTAAAAGCAAAGGAAAAAAAAAAGAAATTATCAAAATGGATGTCAGAAGAGACTCTGACGCTTGTTCTTGAACACAGAGAAGCTACTGGAAGAAACGATGAAGTAAAACAGCTGAACAGAAAGTTTCAAGGGCCAACTCCAGAAGACAAAGTCAAGTGTTATAATTAAAATATGCAAGACCTGGAGTTAGAAAACCAAGAGAAGAGAATATTCAGTGTGTCTCAAGCTTTAAGAACTAAAGAGAAAATTCATGTATCTTTTGGAATTAGACGTTATTGGGTTGCAATACTGAAGGATTCTATGGACAAAATATTGAATGATGCAGGAAATATCACAAGAAGATAGAAGGCATACACAGAGTCACTGTACCAAAATGGATTGGTTTATTTTCAAACATTTGAAAATAACTATTATTTATTTTCAACCAAGTAGTACCATATGATCAAGAACTGATGCTACTGAAGGAAGAAGCCCAAGCTGTACTGAAAGCACTGACAAACTCCAGGACTTCATGGAAGACAAACTGAAGTGTATCAACAAACTGATGTGCTACTGAGGGCACTCACTAACTAGTCTATGCCAAGAAACTTAGAAGGCAGCTACCTGGCCAACCTACTTGAAAACATCCATATTTCTACCCATTACAAAGAAAGATGACCCAACAGAATGCAGAAATCATTGAACAATATCATTAAAATCACTTGTAAATAAAATTTTTCTGATGATATTAAAAAAAAAAAAAAAAAAAGTTGCTGTATTACATCAGCAAGGAGCTGCCAGAAATCCAAGCCGGATTTAGAAGAGGACATGGAACTAAGGATATCATTGCTGATGGCAGATGGATCTTAACTGAAAGAAGACTATACCAGAAAGATGTTTATTTGTGCTTATGGACTATGCAAAGACATATGGATCATAACAAATTATGGCTAACATTACAAAGAATGGGTATTCCAGAACACTTAATTGTGTTCATGAGAAACCTGTACTTAGACCAAGAGGCAGTCATTTGAACAGAACACGGGGATACTGAATGACTTATATTCAGCAAAAATGTTCATCAGGGTTGTATCCTTTTACCATACTTATTCAATCTGTATGCGGAGCATATAATTTAATAAATTGGTTTATATGAAGCAGAACATGGCACCAGGATTGGAAGAAGACTCGTAAAAATCTGTGATATATAGATGATACAACCTTGCTTGCTGGAAACACAGAGGACTTGAAATACTCACTGATAAAGATCACAGATTATAATAGCTTTCAATATGAATTGCATCTCAATGTAAAGAAAACAAAAATTCTCACAACTGGACCAGTAAAAAACATGATAAATGGAGAAAAGATTGATGCTGTCAAATACTTGATTTTTCTTGGATTCACAATCAATGCTCAAGGAAGCAGGAGTCAAGATATCAAACGACATATTCCATAGGGCAAATCTGCTTCAGAAGATCTCACTAAAGTATTGCAGAGCTAAATTTGCTCTTAAGACTAAGGTGCACCTGACCCAAGCCAGGGTATTTTCAATCACTTCACGTGCACATGAAAGTTGGACAATGAATAAGGAAAAACAGAAGACTCAATGCATTAGTATTATGGTGTTAGAGAAGAATATTGAAAGTACCATGGACTGTACAGAAAAACACACTAACTAACCTGTTTTGGAAGTATGCTTCTTAGAAGTGAGAATGGCAAATTTTCATCTACTGTACTTTGAACATGTTGTCAGGAGGGACCAGTTCCTGGAGAAGGATATCATGCTTGGTAAATTGGAGAGTTGGCAAAAAATAGGAAGACTGCCATTGCTATGGACTCAATGGCAGTGAGGTTTTTCAGAATTTTAGCTTACTGTATGTTGTTGTTAAGTGGCGTCAAGATAGTTCTGACTCATAGTGACTCTGTATAGGGTTTCCAAGGAGTGACTGGTGGGTTTGAATCACCGACCCTTTAGTTCAAACCAACTTTGTAGTGCAGTGCTTAATCCCATAATGCCACACCAGGACTCCTACTGTATACCCACTGTATAAAAGAGCCTTCAGATCACTGTGGATTAGGCACTGGGCTGCTAATCACAAAATCAGTGGTTTAAATGCACCTGTAGTTCCTTGGGAAAAGATGAGGCTGTCTGTTCCCATAAAGACTGACAGTCTCAAAAACCCTGTGTGGGGTTACTATGAGTCAAAATGCCTTTGTATGAGGAGCTCTGGCAGCATAATGATGAAACACTTGACTGCTAATTGAAAGGTTGGAGGTTTGAGTTCACACAGAGGCCCCTTGGAAGAAAGGTAATTGATTTCCCCAAAATCAGCCATTGAAAAATCCTAGGGAGCATAGTTCTACTCTGACATATACAGGGTCATCATTAGTCAGAATTTACATGACAGTAACTGATTTACCCACTGTATGGACTTCACTGTGGAACTCTAATATCAATTACAAATGCTTAACAAATGAAAAGAACTATAAAACTATGAGTTTTAGTACACTACATAATAGTGTTCTCTAATTCATGTTAAAACAGTCTAGTTTTTTTTCTGTGATTATTCAGAAAGCAAAAGCTCATACCTGGTCTTTATAAGATATCTTTGGCAGCTTAGATGGTATGGAAGCCCTTGGTGCCGATGATTTACTCTGTCTAACAAGGATAGTCCACTTGGAATTTCTTTTATTGGTGTTCTCAAAATCACCAAGCTGCCAGGCAAAAGAACCACGGCTATATCTTCCTTGCATATCCATAATATAAGGTTTTGGTTGCCTGAAATAGAAATGAATTGGTCAGTTCTTGAATTGAAAAGGCCTAGAAACAAGACCAGGAGTTTTCAGGTAGTTGTTCACTTGTGATTTAAGGTGATTTCTAGCCACGTGGTTTGGGAAGCTAAGAACTTGATCCATTGACCAGTGTTCTGAGAAGGTTCTGGTCTCTCCATTCCACTTTACTTGATGTCCAGCTGAGGGATATGCAGGGAAATGCCTGCGCTGACAAGACACTCACCTAATAACCTTGTTCACCAGTGCACTTGTGTATGATGCTTTTTTCCTTTTTTTTAACCAACCATGCACCTTGCAGGGAGCACAGTGGCTCTGTAGGATAGTCACTGGACTGTGAAACACAAGGTTCAATCCCACAAACTGCTCTGTGGGAGAAAGATGAGACTTAATGCTCCCTCAATAAGATTAACAGCTTTGGAAACATATCCTGGGTTGCTATGAATTGGGGCTGACTTGATGATATACAACAGCAACAAATGCACCTTGGAAGCTAAAAGTGGCATGTTAAAGCTAAAACTTAATGAGACCCATGCATTCTCCTGCACATTTTGCTATCCTGTGGGCATTTAGGAAAGCACCGACTTTGTGATTCCAGACCCAACTTTGGGCAGTGTGCCACAAGAAAAATCTAGATTTCATCTTCTTTCCTCAGTGAAGTCCTTTACTAGGTTCCAACAACCCTATATTAAAACATTTTGTCTGAGCTTTTATGTCTGATTATAAACATCAGCTCTGGGAAACAGAAAAAGGATTTGCCATTTCATTTGAAAAGTTCTTGTCTCTCTAGAGAGCGTCATGGAGCTTCTTAGCCCCACCATCCTTTTACCTTGGCTTCCAGAGTCCTTGGAGAAAGCAAAGTTTCCCTTCTTAGAATCAGAGTTCTACAGGTTTCCAAGTTCTTAGGACCAAGATTTGTGATAAGACTGCATTGCACTTCACTCATTCAAGAACATTCTAGCACTTAACCACATGCCAGGCACTCTACCAAACACTGAGGAGATGACAGTAATAAGGCAAAATTTCTGCTAACACAGAACTTTTATGCCAGTGGGAGAGTGACAATAAACAGATGAATACAGGCCACTCCCAGGTTACAAATGCAATCCGTTCCTAAATCTGTCTTTAAGTATAATTTATAGGTAAGTCGGAGCAGGTACATATGGTTCTTATTTAGCATCAGTTCATCAAATATTTGTCTTAGTATATAGCATGTATTTTACCTTTTTATCCATATAAAACAAGAAACACTTCCAAATACACTAAAAAAATCTTTTTGTTGTTAAGTTCTGCCAAGTCGGTTCTGACTCATAACAACCCTATATAAGATTTCCAAGGAACAGCTGGTGGGTTTAAACTGCTAACCTTGTGGCTAGCAGTAGAGTACTTATCTTATCGCTCTACACCAGAATTCCTAATAATAAAAGTAACTACATATAATAAAAGTACTGAAGAGAGAAAGAGAATCTATGTGTTTGTGCATGTGTTTAGGTTTAGGTTATTGTTAAAAAAAAAAAAAAAAAGGCATAGGCATTAAAGAACTTCTTAAAACAGTTTAGGTAGAAAAGACAAAAGGTCACTCTCATTCCATTTATGTTTTGCAGACCAGATGGGCATTTGTGAGGTTAGCACTATGATAACATTAATAGTCGGATGATGCAAAAGATGATGGAGTGATGGCTACTGTTGAAGATGATGGTTCTGGTGCTGGAGAGTCAAGGTTTGATTCGGCTGCTGGAGATTGGGTGGAGCTACTACTGGAGTCTTGAAGTAATCATCAACTTCTTGAAGTAATCATCAAGGGAAGTTTGTACAGAGCTTTTCTTTCTCTCATCATAAATGGTTGGTAGCAGCTGAGGCCCTAGATAGTTGTTCAGTAAATTTTAGTGACCCTCTGTTTAAGCGGGTCACTAAAACAGTTCCTCTAACTTTGCCTCCCTGCTTCAATGAGATGAAAGTCTTCAGCTAACCCTTTCATAAAGAATCCTTTTTTTTTTTGCCTTTGGAATTTTCAAGTCCTGGTCTTCTTCAAATACTATCATCTGCTGCTCTAGTTCCATAAAATCTTCATTGGTTAGTTTTATGGATTGAGAACTGATGAACTCTACAACATAATTTTCACTGATATTTAATTGCAATATCAACCATAGGGTGACAAGCTTCAGTGATATTTTCAGCTACAAACACCCCTGAAAATCATGCACTAATTGAGGGTACAATTTGTTCCAATTTTCTTTCTTATTTGACTGCTTCACTTCATCCCAAGCATCAGCAATGTATTTGGTGGGATTGTATTGTTGTTATTGTTGTTAGGTGTTGTCAAGTCGGCTCTGACTCAGTGACTCTATGTGCAATGATATGAAACACTGCCCAGTCCTGCGCCAATCTCACAATTGTTCTTATGGATGTTTGAGCCCATTGTTGTTGCCGCTGTGTCATGGATATCTCTTTGGGGTCTTTCTCTTCCTTGCTGACATTCTTTGCTATAATTATATACTTTATAATTCCTCCAGAACTCCCTTAAGTTAAAATTATAACATTTTAAGTAGCCCTGACTGCTTGTGAGAAGGTCCACCATAAACGATAGGCCTAAAAGATTATGATCTCCTGATCTTTGGCTGAAGTAGTGATGTTGCTGAAGTAGTGATGTGGTATTGGGGAATAAAAATGAAACCTTTAAATTGGGATGAAGTTCATCTGAAGTTCTTGGACATCTGGTGTGTTATCAAGTACAAGAAGAACCTTGAAAGGAATTTTCTTGGCCAAGAAATAATGTTCAACAGCAGGGACAATTGGTTCAAAATAAATCTTCAAAGATGGCAAGTGTAACCTATGTCTTTGCATTTGTGTTCCAAATAATGAGAATGCATATTTTAATGATACAGTGACGTTCCCTCGGATTTAGGGAGTGATACTCAAGGAATTCTGGTGTGGCATTGTGGGTTAATGCGATGGACTGCAAAGTCAGCTAGAACCACAAAGTTGGTGGTTCAAGCTCACCGGTTGTTCCTCAGAAACCCTATACAGCACCACTATGGGTTGGAACTGATGCAATGGCACTTAACAACAACAACACAGGGTTCTGGTGAAGTACTGTAAATAATCACTGCACTACTAACCACATGATTTACTATGCCAAGAATGACAAATTGAAGAGGAATGGTGTTGCATTCATTCTCAAAAGAAATATCCAGATTAGTCATTAGGTACAATGCTGTCTATAACAGGATAATATCCATGTGCCTACAGGGAAGCCCAGTTAATACAACTATTATTCAAATGTATGCACCAACCACTAAAGCCAGTGAAGATGAAATAGAAGAAGAAATCTACCAACTTCTTCAATCTGAAATTGATCAAACATGCAATCAAGATGTATTGATCATTACTGGTGATTGGAATGCGAAGGCTGGGAGCAAAGAGGAAGGATTAGTGGTTGGAAAATATGGCCTTGGTGATAGAAATTATGCTGGAGAACGCATGACAGAATTCTGCAAAACCAAAGATTAGTTCATTTCAAACACCTTCTTTATCACCACTGGACCAATAAACAACATTCTTATCAATGGAGAAAAGATTGAAGTTCTCAAGGACTTCATTCTTCTTGGATCAACACTCCAAAAAGCAGCAGTCAAGAAATCAAACGATGTATTACATTAGGCAAATCTGTGACACAAGACCTTTTTAAAGTGTTGAAGAGCAAAGATGTCAGCTTGAAGACTAACGTGTGCCTGACCCAAGCCATGGTATTTTCAATCACCTTATATGCATGCAAAAGCTGGACAGTGAATAAGGAAAACCATAGAATAATTGATGCTTTTGAGTTATGGTGTTGGAGGAGAATATTGAAAGTGCCATGGGCTGCGAAAAGAACCAATAGATCTGTTTTGGAAGGAGTGCAGCCCGAGTGCTCCTTGGAGGCCAAGATGGCCAAACTTCGTCTCTCATACTTTGTACGTATTGTCAGGAGGGACCAGTCGCTAGAGAAGGATATCATCTTTGGTTAAGTGGAGGATCAGAGAAAAAGAAGAAGATCCCCAACGAGATGGATTGGCCAAGCATGGCAACAGTGGTGAGGTTGGCCTAGGACCGGGCAGTGTTTTGTTCTGCTGTGCATAACATTGCTATGGATCTGTACTGACTCGATGGCACTTAACAACAACAACAACAACAATTAATCACAAGATCAACAGTTCTTTCTAACCCACAAACCACTCCTCAGAAACCCTATACAGGTTCACTGTGAAGCAGAACTACTTGACCAAACAATAATAACAACACACAAGCAAAGACTTGATATTAAAATCCCTGGATGCACTGCTGTTGTTGTAGTTAGGTGCCATCAAGTCGGCACCAATTCATAGTGACCCTATGCACAACAGAACAAAACACTGCCCAGTCCTGGGCCAACGTCACAACTGTTGCCACGTTTGAGCCCATTGATGCTGCCACTTGGCCGATCCATCTTGCTGAGGGCCTTCCTCTCTTTCTCGGACCCTCCACCATACCAAACATGATATCCTTCTCCAGCGACTGGTCCCTCCTGACAATATGTCCAAAATATGAGAGACGAAGTTTGGCCATCCCGGCTAACAAGAGCACTCTGTCTGCACTTCTTCCAACACAGATCTGTTGTTTCTTTTGGCAGCCAACGGCACTTTCAATATTCTCCTCCAACACCGTAACTCAAATGCATCAATTCTTCTGTGGCCTTCCTTATTCACTGTCCAGCTTTCACATCCATATGAGGTTATTGAAAATATCATGGCTTGGGTCAGGCGCACCTTAGTCCTCAAGCTGACATCTTTGCTCTTCAACACTTTAAAAAGGTCTTGTGTCACAGATTTGCCTAATGCAATACGTCGTTTGATTTCTTGACTGCTGCTTCCATGAGTGTTGATCCAAGAAGAATGAAGTCCTTGAGAACTTCAATCTTTTCTCCACTGATAAGAACATTGTTTACTGGTCCATTGGTGAGGACTTTTGCTT